GCTGATTACAACACATAAATCTACTCATGATGGCTCACCCTCCTAGTCTTTCATTCTCCTGGCCCTCCAAGGAGTTTATCACCTAGATGGAGAGACAGAACATGCATTTGTGTGTAATTTTAAATTAAGGAATACCCCCTCCATGACTCTGTATGTGTATAAATTTGATTAATATCTGTATGATGTGGGGGCTTTCTCTTTACATTTCATATGTAGGAAAAAGAAAAAGAGCAAGAGATAGTTGCCATGTTGACATGGGCGGGCTCACAGCTTGGGAATGCATGGAAGACCTTTAGTTCTGCCCTGTTCCTCAGACAAGGATGATCTCTTATTACTGACTCAGAAATGTCAAATGGGGCCGAGGGTGAGAGCACATGGCTGCACCAGGCAAGTTCACGACCATTCTGCAAAAATGACTGGACGTGCATGCCCTCCGGACAAGGAGTCACTGGCATCACCTTGCCATCTGAGGGCTGGCCCTTACACAATCAGGCCGAGCTGCTGAATGCGACTGACATGGAATCCGACGCACTTTGAAACTATCCTTGTTTACTTAAAGCCCAGAAGCCTGACGTGAGAAGAAGAATGCCAGGGACAGGCGATGTTAGTTAAATTTGTACATTTTTCTTTCTTGTGGCAATTTATCTTTTCTGAGCAATTTAATGAAGACTCCAGAGGAAAGAATTAACTGTCTGCTGCTTCCATTACCACATAATGAAAAGGTCGGAAGGAGCACCATGCACTGTATGCTGAGCTGCTAGAAAAGCCTATTCTTAGAATGAGTCTCTTTTGTGGGCTGTTCACTCTCGCATGTTGCCACCCACCAATAGTACGGGCGAGTGTCAGTGTAAGAAGCAGAAACCGAGAGCTGGTACAGATGGTCCTGCACAAGGGTGAAGGGCCTAGCCCACAGGGATCAGCGCACGACACCCACGGCAGCAGCGAGGGGCGCGCAGGCCACAGTGTGAATCCAGAGGGACCCGGCTGTCATTAGATTCGCACTTTGAGAAGACTGTAATCATCCTTGGTCCCGAGTGCATTTTTAACTAGCTTGTCCGTAGGGCTACATTCAGTGAAGGCCTCCAGGTAAAAGGGCCTTGCCAGCAGGAATTTAAGGGACTCTTTGCAGTCTCTGCAGCATCTGGAAAGCCACCCCTGCCCCCAGGCTGCCTCAGGTACCCAGAGAAGAAAGATTGCAGCCACACACCTCCTCTACAGAAGGCAAAACCAAAGATAAAATAACACTGTGGCGCTTTGGAATTCATCAGGACATTGACTTGTAAAGCTTTACAAATCAGATCTGTCTAGAAATACCACACAAGAACAGAGACAGTTAAGTAGAGGGTCTTCCCACCTCAACACCCGTGGGGACAGTCTCTCCACTCATGCTGGGGCCTCCCCAACACATTCTGATTGGTCATACGGAAAGATTCGATGGATGAGTCACTGTACAGCTTCTTTTTCACCTTAAAATAGGTTATTTTTTGGTTACATAAAAAATAGCCTCATTCTTAGGAAATACACACTGGAATGTTTAAAAATAAACAGTTATATTTTATATAAATGACTCACAGAAAAAAGGTATGTGCATATCTCTAATCGCTAGCTACAAATATGGAAATGTATTTATACACATCTAGGTGTGTATAACTGTGTGTGTGTGTGTGTGTGTGTGTGTGTGTGTGTGTGTGGTGATAGAGGAGCAAGAGTAAATGATAAAGCAAATGGGGTAAGATGTGAACAGCAGGTGAATCTAGGCAAAGGAATTTGGGTAGCCTTTGAAATATTTTTCTTTTACAACTTATCTGTACGTTTGAAACTATTTCCAAGTTTTAAATAGTTTAACAGCTTAAAAAGTTTTAAATAGTTTAAAAGTTTTAAATGTTGTTAGTTCCCCTTTCTTCGTCTCTGTATTGACTGGCTTCTTGCTAGAGGCCCTTAGAGTTATACCGCGGCCACACTGTGGGTGAAAGTGTCCGTGAGGGTAGCCCCACTCTGCGAGAAGACAACAACCCTGCCGATGTGTTTAATCAGAATGAGAACTCTCTTGGAGAAACCAATCACACAGACAGTTGTAGCACGGCTCCTCCATGGTGTGCCTCTGATTATTGAGAGTTTTTGCTGGGGATGGAGACGGGATTAGGGCTAGGGAATGCAAGGACATATCTAGTTAATTTCTTCCTCTCTTCCCTTAAAATACTACAATCAAGAGTATTAGAAATTTAAAGTTTTAGAAATAAATATCGAATGTGTCACAAACCAAATTAAAATATATGAAAATAACAAACTATATGAGAGGAAGAAAATCCCTAAATTTTTTATACCACTCTTTTTTTTTGGGGGGGGGGGTAGGGAGGGATGTCTGATGCAAGAGATAAGATCAGTTTCTTACTAGAACAGAGCTCTCCCAATACAGAGTAGACCTCAATCATTACTGTTTTTCTTACATGCGCCAACAAACAGAATCGTGGACACAACTGAACGTAGATATGATTAAGTGAATGAGCAGCACCTGAGACAAAGTTCTACACTCAACTCCTCATCTTTAAGGATGCATTTTAAGATATTTTAAAACCTAAGCAGAGACGTTTTTAACTATGGGGTTCTCTTTATAGAAGTTTATTTTTTCCTCTTCTCTTTTCTTATTTAGAATTCCATATTTAAAGTTTACTAGGACCATAAAGAAAAAGGTGAGGTACAAACGGGGAGAGGATATTTTCTACCCATATAACTAAATAGGATTAATATTCAAATATAGAAATCATTCTTATAAATGAATTTAAATTACAAAAACGATTTTTAAAATATTGTGAAAATCTGGGACAGGTATTTCCAGAAGAGAAAGGACAAATGGCCAAAACACTTTGCAAAGATGATCAAAATCATTAATAAGTGGAAATACAAACTAAAACCACAAATACCACGTCATCAACACAGAGTGGCAAAATCCACAGCCTGACCATATCAAGTGCTGACAAAGTTGCAGAACAATGGCACTCTCATTTACTTCTGGAGGGAGTGAACATTGGCACGCCACTTTGGAAAACAATTTGGCATCACAGAGCAGAACTGAAGGCATGCATACCCTGTGATCCAACAATTGCACTGTTGTGAATATGCTGAGAAACTCTGACAAAGAGGGAGTCTATGCAAGAGTATTCATAATAACAACACGTTTATAATGGAAGCTATCTAAGGTCTGCCAACAGCACAGTAGACTAACAGCTTGAGGCATTTCATACAACATAACACTATCCCGCATTGAAGATGGGTAAAGAACAGCTGTATGCACCAACAAAATGACCCTCAAGAACACAATGTTGGACTTAAAAAAGCCAATTGCAGAAGATGACATATGTTACGATTCCATTCTTGGAAAGTTCATATAGGTTTGTTTTTAGGGACAGAAACATGTGTGGGAAAACTATAAAAACAACAAAAGAATGATAAACAAAAATTCAAAGTAGTGGTTAAATCTCTTTAGGGCAGAAAGGGGAAGTGATCAGGAAAAAACACACAGACCTTGAATGGAAATGCCAAGAGCCTGTTTCTTAAAAGAGGTGTGGGCACACATTCATTGTACTGTCATTCTTTACACTGTACACATTTAACAAATATTCTTTTGTGTGCAGCCGATATTTACTAAAAAGGACTCAATTCAAAGTAGTGGTTAAATCTCTTTAGGGCAGAAAGGGGAAGTGATCAGGAAAAAACACACAGACCTTGAATGGAAATGCCAAGAGCCTGTTTCTTAAAAGAGGTGTGGGCACACATTCATTGTACTGTCATTCTTTACACTGTACACATTTAACAAATATTCTTTTGTGTGCAGCCAATATTTACTAAAAAGGACTCTCAAGAATTGTTGAAGAAGCAAATGGCCAAACAATTTTTATCCAAGACTTGCTGAAAGAAGAACAAAGAGTGCAATGACCCTCCAGCCATGAGGCCCTGGCAGTCTTTTCTACCAAGCAAGCCTACCGGGCTTCTTGTCTCAGTCCCGCTCGACTCCCTCAACCCCAAACCAAATATCACTCAGAGCTACCAGTGGTGCAGGGTTGGAGGGAATGTTCATGGTGCTCCTTCAGAAGCAGCAGCCAAGCTTTCCTCTCTCTCCGTCATGCTGTCTATCCCTCATTAAAATTCAGGCTTCTTTCACGTGTGAATGTCAAGACCACTGTCCTGTTCACACGAGTGCACGCACACACCCAAACTCTGCAGCTTGCCTGGGTTGTTATCATACACAGATATTACCCAACTCCTGACTTTGACTTATTTTCTGTTTGTACACAATTCATAATGATAACAGAGCACCATATTTAAAACAAAGCATCTCCCTGTCCTCCAATTAGAACATAAAACCTGAAATAGCTCCTTGAAACGCAGACACCTGTTTGAGATCAACCATGTAGCAGCAGCCCCTTAAACCAAAAGTAAAATTTAAAGTGAGTGGTGCAGCTGTTGTCAGTACAGCACTTACAAATAAAATAAACCTAGCTCCAGGGAGATCTGGCTCCTCACCTTGGTAGGTCATTAAACATAAAAAAACATTCACCACTCTGGCTGGTATGCTCAGTGGTTAGAGCATCAGACTGTGCACCAAACGGTCTCAAATTCGATTCCCGGTCAAGGGCACGCACCTCAGTTGCAGATTAGATCCCCAGCCCCGGTTGGGGGTTGTTCAGGAGGCAACCAATCAATGTGTCTCACATCAATGTCTATCTGTCTCTCTCTCTCTCCTCTCTCTCTCTTTCCTTTCTCCATCAAGTGGATGAGAAGAACGTTGTGTTATATTTTAAATACCATGACATTTTAAAAACAATTGTTTTCATATCAATCACTACAGTGAAGTTGGGCTCTTTCACCAGTAACATCTCAATAGGAAAAAAAATCAAACTGGTATAAAAAATTCTTCTAAATTACTTACTGGAAGAGTCCATCACTGAGTCCCCTGAAGCTTACGAGAGTTAGTGAGTAGCAGCTGTAAAAATACCACTTACCTCAGCATATTGTGCTACTGAGCTGGCCTCAACTGCATAGACTCTCCTGGCTCCAGCCTGTACAGCAAAAAACGACAGGATTCCTGTTCCACAACCAACATCTAGAACGACCTGGAAGGAAAGGAGAAGACAGAAATGGGGTGAAAACACAAACAGGTGCTTGGCTGTTGGCGCCACCCCAACCTTGAGCACTGGAACCAGACTCAAGTGCTGGCTTTGATATTTACTATACGTAGTCTTACTGGGGCCAAGTTATGAGTCTCTGTGAGACTCCTTTTTCTCTTTTGTTAAACAGTGATTATTAATACCCACTTCTTAAGGTTTGCCGTAGGGATTAAATAATATGAAGTGTGTGCAAAGCACTTGGCACACAACTGGTGTTTTCATATTGTTGCTATTATTATTATAGTTTTTGTAGCCTGGGTTACTTTTAGGATGTTTAGGGCCAAGAAATGTAGAGTGTTGTGAATGAGCTTGCTTACCAAGTCAGTCAGCATGAACAAAGCAAACACTGTCTCCAACAATTATTTGAATTATATATATCATTATATATTACATTTTATATCCTATATAATAAAACCCTAATATGCAAATCGACTGAACAGCAGAATGACTTAGTCGCTATGACACACACTGACCACCAGGGGGTAAATGCTCAACGCAGGAGCTGTCCCCTGGTGATCAGTGCACTCCCACAGGGGAAGCACCACTCAGCCAGAAGCTGGGCTCACAGCTGGTGAGTGCAGCGGTGGTGGCAGGAGCCTCTCCTGCCTCTGTGGCAGCACTAAGGACCACTCGCAGGATGTCTGACTGCCAACTTAGGCCCGCGGACCCCAAGGGGTTCTGGACTGCGAGAAGGCGCAGGCCGGGCTGAGGGACCCCACCCCAGTGCACGAATGTCATGAACTGGGGCTCTAGTATATATACATATACAATATGTAAAATTTTCAGAAATAACTGAACATAAAATCTTTAGAAATCCCAAAGTGAGTTGTTGTTGTTGTTTTACCAGTTCCCTCCACAAAATTGGGAGGTTTATACGGAGAGTATTAAGGCAGTGGATAGATGGAATTAAGAGAAACTTTTCTTTTATTCTCTGTGCTCAGTTCTGGGACTGAAGTCAAGAAAACTATCACTCACTGGTACAAAAAGTCCGACACTTAGACCTACATGCTGACAGGCAAGGGTGCAGGGTACACATTGGGCCCTTCTCCCCAAATACTGCTGAAACTGGAGCCTTGTCTGATCATTAAATTTCAGGTTATTGTCTTTCTGTCTCGCCAGTGACTTTTCTTCTCAGCATCTTTTAGAACTAGCTCCGAGCAAGCCATTTAGTTTGACTAAATCCTTACAACAAACACATGAGTAGACAGCATTATTATGCCTACTTTATAGACAACAAACCTGAAAGTCAGAGACACTGAAGACCAGCCCAAGTTCATGTTGCAGGAAGTACAGGAGTTAAGAGTTGAATCTGGACACTTCTGCCTTCCAAACTCATGTTCCATAAAATCACACATCGCTTACTTCAATTCATCTTTACAAATATGACATTTTAACACAGCAATACCAGTAGGCAATGTTTGACAAGGAGACAAAATTCTACTTTTTGTAGGAAAACTTCGCTAAGTTTTTGTTTTGTTTTTACTTCCATGGCTGGAAAATTTTTCCAAAACATAGGGAATATCAAGAGGTTGTACGTATGTGTGTTAACTGCGACCTCACGCTGTGCTGACACAGATCCTGTGCCGTTATTTGAAGAGAACATGCTGCTAGCAATGGGCTCACAGTGCTCGCTTCTATTAATTCTAGAGCTGTGGCTGGATTCCATATGGTTTCCTAGGGTTTGGTAATTAGGAGCATTATCAATTTAAAATGTCACCCAGGCTCCGGAATTTGCTGTCAGGCTGTCTATACTTTTAGAAATACCAATATTCACTTCTCCTCATCCTCCCAAGGAAATGCATCATCTTTGATGATCCCTGGTCCATTGCAAGAACACCTATGACTGCTATTTAGGGAGTGGAGGCTGTAAGTTGGAGAGTACAATCCATGACCACCAAACAAGATGCACCCCCTCTCAGTTTTCTACCTGGGGAACTCAAGACCCAGCTCAGATACCACATCTCAGGGGAGCTTTACCTCACATCCCCAGTAAGTCTAGGTTGGGCTCTCTGGCACCTGGAAATAGCAGTTACTATAGGATATTGCAAATATTTCCTTACATGTTTATCTTCCCTACTTGGCCTCTGAGCTCTCAAAAAACAAGAATCACCTCATTTGTCTCTTAACACCTAGCACACTGGTGTTAATGGTTTTAATTTATTATTAAAACCATTAATAAATATTTGTTGACTAAATGGCTGAGTGGGATGACTCAATATGGCAGTCGCCTAATTCCAACCTCACCATGAAATATCTCTGGAAAAGGCTTATGACTTTTGCCAGTCATTTGGACTTTGGGAGTGTTCTTGTATCGCAAAATTTGCACTCAAAGAGGATGAGCTCAGAATGCCCTTGCCTTATATCCTGAACTGTTTCACCCAACCTCATCTTCTGCTCCCTGGCCTAGTTCTTATTTCTTGGCCTCCAAGTCACCTCACAGACATGACACTTTCTACCCTGTCTCTCTTCATGATCTCTGCCCTTTCTCATTGATTCTGATCCAAGCATGTCCCTTGGGTCCCTCCTCTGACTACCTGAGGCAGCCTTCTGCCCTGACACAGGCCTTCTTGGACGGCTCTGTGCTCCTTTCTGCCACAGGGCCCTCGTATATGGTGTTCCCTTTGCCTGGGATGCTCCTCACTACACTCTGTGGTATCTGTCTATGGTAACTTTTATTTTGTCTACTCAATGTTCACTCTTTTGATGTATTTTTAAAAAATCTTTATTGTTGAAACTATTACAATGCTCATTTTGCTAGATCTTTACAATTTGCTTCTCCAGATCTAGTCTCCACTCTTCTCCATCTTGCTCTTTGTCAAGAGGCTGACCTATATGGACTACAGCAATGGGACTCCTTTGGACTCTAGTTGGGATCAGTCAAGAGAAAAGACAACAAGAGGCCAGTAGGAGTGAGAACAGTGAGGTCAGATGATTTACTCTCCTGGCGTCTTCCTTCCTGGAAGAAACAACAGATTGGTAGTGCCCCCCAAAAAGCCACAGCTCTTGTTGGGATTCCATCTCTTACAGGTATCACCATCTCTCAGGTTTCCAGTAACGACCTCTTCCTTTTGCCCCCTTAGGCCTAGTGGTGGTAACAGATCCCTACTCTTGCTAGTGCCGGTGCTTCACCATCCCATGTTGGCTCCCTTACCTCCGCCCACATCTTTGTAAAGAGTCCCATTATTTAACTCTTCTAAACCACCCTGTCATGCATGCCATCTCTCTCCTGCAGGCACCCTGGCTGGTATACAACTCATCCTTCAGATCCCCAGACAACTCCCATCAGGAAAGACTTCTCTCATCTTTGCTCCTCTTCCAGGCTAAGTAATGTCCTCCTGTTGGTGCTTTCTTATCACCACCTCCTCATACCCTTCCTTCATAACACTCATCACAGTTATAATGTTCCTTTCAACTACTGATATTTGATTAATATGTGCTCCCTCCCCTGGATTCTGAGCTTTATTAAGGCAGAGACCACCATCTGTTTCTCACTCACGATTGAATCTCTGATATAACATGGGGTCTGTTGAAAAAATTGAATAAATAATACTGTGTCCAAGTACCACAAATAGGGAACAGAGTCGTGATCTAGAAAATATAGTGCAAATCTGTTACTGCCTCGAGAAAGCACCTTCTACCAGCATAGCACATCCACTCCAATCTAGGGATCTTAAGCATCCTTTAAAGGATAACTTGCTTTTGACATTGCCATTTACCATGATATTATAATACAGTTAGTTCTTGTGCACAATGTTCCTCTAGAGAGAGAATTCATCTGCAGCTGCCCCTGGCTACACAGGCAGTAACTGTAGACATGATTAATTTGGGGCTTATATGTGGGAACACCAGAAAGTGGTGTGAAATCCCTGCCAGGACTAATAGGAAAAAGTCAACAGTTGGTCCATGGAACAGTGGCCAAAAGTTCTATGAATTTATTTGTAATTAAAGTAACTTTAAAAATATTTAAATATTAGGATCATCATTTTGCTTGTACAGACTATTTTAATTACATGCTCTTGTGGTTTCCTGAGCAAAGAAACCCTGCAGAATGTTTGGATAGGGCTAAAAAAAAAGCTCCAAGTGGGTTCAAAGCTATTTCACTGGATTAACTAGCTCAAAATTAGCAAGAAATATCCAAGTTCTTATGAAAATGTGAAACGAAACTACCCTTGAATAATAGAGTAAAAATAAGTAAATATGTACCATTTGTTTTATACTTACTATGTGCTATGCCTATTTAGTACTTTGCAGGCTTGTTTACTTGTAATGACAACTCTATCATGTGGATACAATCATTTCCTACATATGGTAGATAAAGAGACTGAGAATAAGATGGAGTTCAAGTTATGTACTTAATAAATTCCAGAAATGAGATAAAAAAACCAACTGTATCTAATGCAAACCTTATGCTCTAGCCACTCCCCTCATCTTCAATTCTAAGTTGTTCTTTGTACTGTTGAGGCTATAGTAATATTGGTCACATTAACTTTCTTTTCACCCCAACAGTTTTATAATTATCTTCCAATATTGAGGTCTTGATTATCCCACAATAAATTCCTCAAGTTATGCCAGTTATTATTTATTCATTTTCCTTAATTTTCTTGAGCATATCAATGGCTGCTCTGAATTGCAATATCCCAACTACCATTTTTGTGTGCCTTGCACTCCTAAATTCTATGGCCCGCCTACCTGGGCACTTTTACTGCCATCACTGCTTCTGCCAGCCATTATTTAATTACACCTGTAGACACTTCCACTTAACCACACATGTAACTGATGCTTTTGTACAGTATCATGTAATTTTTAAAATATATATATTTTTATTGATTTCAGAGATGAAGAGGGAGAGAGAGAGAGAGAGAGAGAGAGAGAGAGAAAGAGAGAGAGAGAGAGATACATCAATGATGAGAGAGAATCATTGACCGGCTACCTCTTGCTCACCCCAC